GAAGGAAGGAAGGAAGGAAGGAAGGAAGGAAGGAAGGAAGGAAGGAAAGAAAGAACGAAAAGACAGTCATAGAAGAAAAACACTTGGAAGAGAACAGACAAAATGTGCCCATCTATAAGTCAAGGAGAAAGGCCCACAACATACCCTTCCATGATAGTGATCAGACTGAACCAGTCTACACCTTGATTGCTCATGGCAGGCCCCAGAATTGTGACAGTGAACATCTTTTGTTTAAGTGATCCAACTGATAGTACTTCAGAGTTCACCTTTGTTGTTGTTGTTGTTGTTGTTGTTGTTGTTGTTGTTTATGAGACAGTATTTCTCTGTGTCACCTTGGCTGGCCTGGACTGCTTTGTAGACAAGGCTAGCCTCAAACTCACAGTGATCCGCCTGCCTCTGCCTCTGGAGTGCTGGGCTTAAAGGCATGTGCCACCTTGCCTGGCTAAGCTCCAACTTTCTAACACAAGCACCTGGCACTGTTATTTTTTGGTCAGACTAACTCAGGTCTGTGCTTTGTACCATTTTCCAGTTTTCTCCAGACTGTGCCCAGGCTCCCACAAGGGCAACTTACTTAACAGCACATGTCCAAAAAGGTGTGTGTGTGCCTGTCTGTCAGCCTGGCACATATATGTGCACAGAGCTCACAGGACAGCTCAGGAATCAGTTCTCTCCTCCTACCATAGGTTCCAAAGGTCAAGGTCATTAGACTGGCTTGCCAAGCACCTTTATGGACTGAAACATCTCTGCAGCCCTTAGAGGCACATTCTTTATCCATTTCCTTCTAGTGCTGACCTCACTTCCTCTCCCAGTGCTGTGCTATGTACTCACTTCCTAAACACACTCTGTGCTCTCAAATCCTCCTCTCAGGATCTCCTTCTCGGTGACTTCAAGCTAAGACATCTGACACCAAAAGCAGTATCTGAAAGTGTTCAACAGAATCTTTCTGTTGCTCCCACCCAGCCAGAAGCCTCGGTTCTCCGCAGAGGAGAACAGTGGTGTCTGAGTTACAGCCTCACCACTGAGGCCTCTAAAGCATCGTCAGGGAAGAATTCAGGTTAAAGAGCTTATGCAACATCAGTAGCATTGAAAAACCCAGGGCAAGCATAATTCTAGGGATGGCAGCATGCGCAGCTGCTATTGCCGCAAGGAGGGAAATCATAAGCACCACACCCAGAGAAAGAGGGAGAAGCCAGAAAGCTGCTGTGGCAGCATTTAAAGAGATAAACAAAAACCAAAAAAGATATGCATTTTGTAAAAAGCATGAAGTAAATATGAATATGAAAATTAATTATGTCACTTCTACATTGCTTTAGCTTTCTTCAGATCCCAAGTCCTCAGTCAGACAAACACATCAGCAGTCCGTCCCTAAGAGAAACCGTGCACTCTGCCTGTGCATGGTGGCACTTGCCTGTAATCTTAGCACTCAGAAGGCAGAGGCAGGAGGCTCCTGTGTTCAAAGTCAGCCTCAGATACACAGCAAGAGCCTGTTTCACAAAAAGGGGGTGGTGGGCAAGCCTCGGTACCTTATTTCAACAGGTGAGGCAAATGCAGCCATTACCTTCCTTTCTTCCATCTATGCCTCTTCTTTACCTCACATTTGTGGGTTGAAGGGCCCTTCAACCCAGCTGACAGAGAAGGAAAGGACTCAGGCACAGTTTAAGAACAGCCCAGTTCTGCATTCACTGTTTACGTGGATGTGGCCTGCTGCCAAACTACAAAACTCAGGAGTGACTGAAACAAGGATGGGCTGAAACAAGCAGCCGCTGTGTCAGTCAGTGCAGCTGGTCACCAACACACTGTGAGGGGAGGAGACACCACCCAAGGTGAACGATGCATAGACTGGTGGCCTGGACAGGGAAGAAAGTTTGAAGACTGAAGGCAGAGAGCTAGGGAGGAAGTGAGTGGGTGGGCTTATGCAAATGTGCAACAAATGTACAACTGTTTGTACCTTTTTTTAATTTTAATTAATTTATTTATTCACTTTATATCCCGATCATACTCCCCTCCATTTCCCCACCCGCCTCTCCTATCCCTCAGATAAGGGGAGCCCCCATTACCCACCCACCCCAGTTCATTAAGTTGAATCAGGACTGATGGAGAGAGTCTGTTTGTGTATCTTACTAGTGCCTATAAGGGAGTCGCCACGCTACTGCAGGGGGAAGCAGAACCGAGTAACTAGGATTAACTCATGCAGTCAACTGCACTGAACTCTGTTCTTGGCCACTCCAGGGCTTCCTTGGTAGATTCATGAACAGAATGGTCAGGATTAGAGAAATTAGACTACACAAAAATCCCATGAGATCTATTTCTGTACTGTTGAGCGTCTGTGCTGAGGCTGAACTCTAAATCTGTTACCATCCCTCCAAAAGATCAACCAGTGACTTGAACCCATCAAATCTCTTCCACTCTGGAAACAGTAATGACTCCTCCCTGCCAGACAGACCCCAAGAATGGGTTTACCCTTTAGTCTACAGAGTCTGGCCCATTTATAGAGTGCCTGATTATGTCATATGAAATTCCATTTAACATTACCTTACACTAGTGTTTCTCAATTATTCTTCGTTATCATTCTATTAAACACTTAGGTAATTGCCACTCTCATGAAATTTTAATATGGCAGGTATATTGTATCTTTGATTAGACCCTACGAAAGTGCTTTAAACCTATGAGAGAAGAGGAAGAGATAAGAGACTTTGGAGATGGCTCATTGAGTAAAGTACTTGCCAGGCAAGTGTGAGGCCCTGAGTTCGGATCCCTAAAACACACAGAAAAGCCTAAGACACACCTGTAATCCCAGGGCTTTTACCATGTGGGAAGTGAGGACAAGAAAATCCCCAGAAGCTCAAAGCCCAGCTAGCCTGCCATACCCAGTAGCAAAGAACAGAAGACCCCATGTCAAACAAGGTGAAAGGCCATGAGCAACACCCAAGGTAATCTTCTGACCTCCACACATGCACAGTGGCAGGGGTCTGAACTCACTGAACACACACACACACACACACACACACACACACGGGAGTATGTAAAGCTCAGAAGAGATGTTTAACACAGGAATACAAATTAAATCCCAAATCATCAGGAACTTTTATTTTATTTCATGTCAAGCAGAAACAAAGCAATAAAATTAATATTGTTTTACACTCATAAAACATGTTTACATCAATTGTGCTGATTGATAGAAAATACAAATTACTGAAGACCAACAATAAATAATATACTTAAAAACAGAATGTTCTGTGTGCAACGGGCAATTTCCTGAGGCTGTCTAGTTTGGGGAAGTCAATGTGCTTTTGCAAACCTGAGTTTCTCAAAAGATGCCAAACTGGTGCAAATTTCCTGCGATGCCAAGAAGCTGCCATGGCTGGGGGCATCTTCTATTGAGAGGGGATATAATCAATCTTTTTGTGGGCAAAGGGTTAAGATGGGTTCTCGCTATGTACCTAGGCCAACCTCAAACTCACGATTTTCCTGTGTCAGCCTCCAGCATGCTGGGACTATAGGCGATCTCCACCATGCCCGGCTTTCAGTCTTATTATAGCCAATTTGTCCAAAGTCCTGGGAAAGCTACCGCACAGAGGAGAGGGATCTGCTTGCCCTTCGAGGTGACACAGATACTTACTACATGCCAAATAAGGAACGGTGCCATGTAACTCGTCATAACTGAAGTGCCCACCTTCTGAGGTGTAAACAGTGCATGATCTCCCTGCAATGTGGGGGTGGCAAAGGGAGCAACAAATAGTTGTAAAAGAGTAAGGATGCCTGTTTAAATTTCCCAGAGCACAGCAAGGGATTTTCTATAAAAACCCGAGATTGAAGAGGGCTTTGAAATTCTGAATTTCCTTGAAGAATAGTTAAAATAACATATTTCTTTGAATTTTTTTCAACTTTACTGTCCCAAAATCAAGTGAGGTTGGCAATCTACAGACTACAACAGCTTAATTGGCAACTCCCTACCATACCTTCCTAGATACATACAATAAAAGTGTATCTTACAATCCATAGCCTCACAGATTAAATACTCTCTGCACTGTTGTTCATTCAATACACAACAATTTTTATCAAAATAATTCTGACACTTTAATCCCAGTAATTTTACTAGCCGAAAAAATATTGGCCAAATACCCTTCATAAATGTGTGTGTGTGTGTGTGTGTGTGTGTGTGTGTGTGTGTGTATGTGCACGCACGAATGTCAGTCACAGCTGTGTGCATGCTCCAGCACATGTGTGGAGGCCAGAGGCCTGCTCTGGAGTGGTTGCCCCCTTACACCCTTCTGTGTGTCCCAGCGATGGAGCTCAGGCCGTTAGGTATGCACAGGTACCCTTACTCCCTAATCCAGCCTGTCCTTCTTTAGCCTGAGCATGAGCACAGCAGCCTCACAGAGGACCAGAAGAACAGTACTGTACAACGAACTGATGCTCCAGGTCTGGTTCTGCCTCTCACTGGCTGCCAGAATTGTAAAGAAATCGACCTCACACTGCGGGGTCTTGTTTCTCCGTCTGTAAAATGAGCAAGTCCATTGGATGCTTCTAAGTCTTCCAGCCAAGAACAGGGATAATTTTAAACATTGTACCACTGACAGGGAGTGGCGCTGTTTCCATGGTCTTACTTCCCACAGCCCAAGGAGCATCCTGAAAGCTGGCACAGTCCTCTGCAGGCCTGCTCAAGCCAACACTCAGAATCCAGAGTGGCCTTGCTACCCCGACAGGAAACAGCACGCATAACCTTAGGAACTAGCCAGGAAATAATAATTCTTTCTTCTGGGGCAGTACGTAAACCTTCTGAGAAAAACAGAAACAGAACAAAACTCTGCAGAATTCTACTTGGCTAGGTTGAGTCAGATGTCTATTATAAATTTAAAATATCAAAACAAAAATTTCAACAAGGGTTCACATCGCCATCTTCATGATTGACATGATTTGGTTCTGGATTGTGCTGCTCTCAGGCCTCTCCTCATGTCATAGAAGCAGTGACTGGGGAAAGCTTTCTTTTCTGAAAGAAAATAGCAAAGACATTTCATCCAAATGACCTCTTCATACCAACGTAGGAGTATGTTTGGTCAAGGAAAACAAATGGTGAGGAGAGAGCCACACCAAAGTTCCTCATGGTAATAACACGTGCATTGACATTTTTCATTCACATGTTTTTGATTCAATAATTATAATCTGTATTTATTAAGCATGCTAGAATTCAAAACAGAAATGGTGCCTAAAATCAGCAATTAATGACAGGTTACTTATTCCTAGTCTCCTGTGAAAATTCAACCCCTAAGGTACATTCAAACACACCAATAGTGTAATGCATTGCTTAACTGAATTACTCAAACCAGGTTCTTTTCCTTAAACTCTGAAATTGAGACTAGAGAGGTGACCCAGTAGATAAGAACACTGGTTATGAAGGGCAGTGATGACTTATGCCTTTAATCCCAGCACTCAGGAAGCAGAGGCAGGTGGATCTCTGAGTTCAAGGCCAGCCTACAGAGTGAGTTCCAGGACAGCCATGGCCACACAGAGAAATCCTGCCTAAAAAAAAAAAAAAAACTTGTTACTCTTTCCTAAGACCTAAATTCACCAGGACATGGTGGTACTTTCCTTTAAATCCCAGCAATCAGGGAGGCAGAGACAGGGTGATTGCTGTGAATTCAAGGCCAGCCTGCTCTACAAAGTGAGTCCAGGATAGCCAAACACTGTCTCAAAAAAAAAAAAAAAAAACGAAAAAAGACCTAAATCCAGTTCTCAACACCCATGTCAGACAGCTCACAGCTGCCGGTAATTCCAGCTTCAGGGCATCCAACCCTCTTCTGGACTCTGCAGACAACTGTACAGATACAGGAGAGAGAGGAACAGAGGGAGGGAGGAGAGGAGGAGAGAGTGCTTTTAAATTTTTCTGAAATTCGGTCAATCGTATATGAACATGCTAAGCCCCTATTCGCTGAGCTAGTGCAGGTATTTAAATTATACAGCTTGAGAGAGACTGCTCATTAAATACATAGGCATTAGCATCTTACATTCACACATCAGACTCCTGGGCTTCAAGAACTAGCATTACCAAATGCTAATCTTAAACTTTTGCAGCATCTGGGCCTATCCAGATATAAGCAGGAACCAAAAATGTAAAACACATGTTTTATATAAACATATAATACATAAATACATGTATAATACGTATTAAATACGTTCTTGGGACAATGCTGTGTCCCACAGCCATCCTTCACACTATAGTGGAGAGGAGATCTGCCTGATGAGTGATACAGGTACCACGTCCCTGCTTTGCTTCTCACCAGGGCTCTGGGAAAGAGGCAGTCTTATGAAGAAGAAACTACGACAGGTTGTAAAGGCTACTATTTATTTTACATTTATTCCTAGCTAGAGAATGGAAAATTTTATGCCTTCAGCTTTAATCTCTTTTAAAGCAAAGTTATTCACATCTTAAACATAGTTATGAAGCAATTTAAGGTCACATATTTAATATTAATTGATACCAGCTAATTAATCTATTTAATTGAGACAACTTGGCTCCTGCCCTGTATAGCTAATTGGGGATGAGTCAGCAAGTCAGTGGTTTGGGAGCCTGAAGAAATGTTTGATATCCTAGCCTCCTGGTGCTTTTTGGCAAGAAGGACACTAGCCTAACAAGTCACCAGAGAGCACCGAGAAAACCTGTCTTGTTTCATAACTGACAATAAATGTCACCAATACCAGGAAGAGAAGAAGTGATGCTTTTCCAGGTCTGCCAAGACTCCCTGCATCCTACTCTCCCTGCAAAAATGCAAATGGCCCAACTATTCAATATAGTTTTTACCGAAGAATTAAGACTGTCTCGTGACAGACAAATGAGAGAGTAAGACAAGCCAGAAATAAAAATATTTACTTAGGAGTAGATCTCCCCTTTTTCTTCGCTGTTATAATCCCTGCACAGTTCCATGCCAGGCTCAGCCCACCTGGGCAGAAAGTACAATGTACAAGCAGTTTCATTTAGTATTACTTCAGGCTTTTGATGTATTTCCCACATAGGGAAAACTTGCCAAGCGGCTGAGTGCCCAGAGAGCTAGCCACTGTGTGGTACCCTTTGTGGCTGCGGTTGGTGAGCAGTGTTGAATTCTCCTCCAAGAATTCTTGTGATTTGCTAGTCCAGGTGTTAGCCTGTGAACTGGTACAGGTGACTCCTATGATCCTCTTCTGTGCTTGGTGCGTGTGATACCATTTACACAGTTTTCACTGATTTCTCCTCTTCAGGGAATAAGGGATATGTTTAAAGACTGATAATCATGTGTTTGTTTCTGAAAATACTGAAATGGAGGTGTGTAAAAGCTATCAAAAAAAAAAAGAAGAAGGAGAAAGGGTAGGGCTGGGGGAAGTTGAGGGAGGGGCTTCAATTGGGATATATAATGAATAAATTGTAAAAAAAATAAAATTTAAAAAAAGCTACAAAAGGGCTAAGCAAATAAAGACAGTCATAAAATAATAATAAAAAAAAAATAGTGGGGAAATGTCCTCATTCCAAAAGGCTTCCAGTCAGCCTGCAGTTGAACTCCAAGAGAGTTGAGCCTGAAAGGGACGCCACACCCACCAGAAAGCTGGCCGGAAATGCAAATCACCCGGGAACAACAGGGTTACAGGAAGATTAAAGAGTCTTACCACCCCTCCTGTTACTGATAGAGCAAACTGTAGTCTTCAACCAAAGAGTAATCAGGGTCATCTGCAAATAGAACACAGGACAGAATCAAGCTAACCGATTTTCTTGATAAAGACCTCAGGCCCAGTGGTTCTCAATCTGTTGGTTGTGACCCCTCACAGGGCTCACATACCAGGTATTTACACTATGATTCATAACAGTAACAAAATTACAGTTATGAAGTAGCAACAAAAGTAATCTTAGGGTTGGGGGAGGTCACGCAGCATGAGGAACTGTGTTAAAGGATCACAGCTTTAGGAAGGTTGAGAACCATTGCCCTAGCCCCTTTCAAACCAAAGCACTCCACTTCAAGATTCAGTCAACTGCCCTTTTATAACGACTAGATACATCAAAATACAAAATATGGGCCCCAAAGCCTATACTGGTAGTCATGACTACAAACCAGACAGCACTCTAGAGAGCACTGTTAGGATTTCGCTGCCCTTTTTCGGTCATGCCCCACATCCATTTCCACAGTAAAGGTATCTCAAAAACGGACAAAGGTGAAGTCGTACCTTAAATAAAATAACAAATGCTATTTAAAAATAATATTTCAATCACTATTTTTTAAACGTTTTAATATTTATTGTGTTTATCTGTGTAGATGGTCCGGTGCTCAGCACATACACGGGAGTCAAAGGTTAACTGGTTAAGAGTCAATGCTCTCCTTGCAACATGTGGGTTCTGGGTATTGAATTCAGGCTGCCAAACCTGATGCCCATTGAACCGTCTTGCTGACCCTTAAGTTTTTAACAGTCATTACATTTTTACTGAGATGCCAAATCAGCCTAGGCCAACTCCTCCCTCCCTTCTTCCCCTTTAAACACAGACATTCAAACAGTTTTTGCCTGGATTGATAAATCTATAAGCACCTGCAATGCATCTAACACTATTCTAAGGCTTGGAAATGACAGAAGGAAAAAGCTCCTCTTCAAAGGTGTTGTAATTAACCAGGGAATGCAACTGACAAAAAAACAAAAACAAAAACAACAACAATAAAATGTTGCTTCAGCTGCTTTCGATCCCTTTGCCCTAGCCAGACTGCTTTGGCTGGCCTTAGTGATGAGGGGGAACTCAGTTCTGATGACTTGACGTGCTGGAGTGGATCAGGGCTTCCCTTTTCTGAGGACAAGAGACAGGATAGGGTGAAGAGGCTGGGAGGAAGGGACTGGGAGAAGAAGGGAGAGGGCTATGATCTCGATGTGAAGTAAATATATAAATTAAAAATAAATTGTAAAAAAATGTTGCTAGGTATGGATCTCTCTGAGGCGCCGCAGTGGAAAAGGGACATCATATGACCAGAAGACAATTCCTTTTAAGGCAGCGTGCAATGTTATAATTGAAGGTTGCAGAGTGAGACCCTGTCTTGTGGCGAGATTCAAATATAGGTACAATCTCTTAGGAACTGAATCTTATCAGGCATGTTCAATCTGCCACCCATGAGCCACAAGCAGCCCAGGATAGCGTGAATGTGGTCCAACACAAACTCAAAATTTACTCAAAACACCGAGACTCTTTACATTTTTTTTCCGGCAATTCAAATGCATTGTTCTCAAGCATAAATTCTGTAGATGACAGAGCCACATTCCACTGTCAACAAGTCAGACGTGCCTGGCTCTTATCTTCATATTCTAGCTTTTCAATCTTAAAGAACATCTGACCTAAAAATTCCAAGAGGTTCTTCCCGGTGGCATACCTGGTATATGTTTAGGAACTGGGAGAGGTCCTCTCCTGTAAGAGATGAAAATCAAAGACTTTCAGGTAAGTTCTTTTCTTTTCTTTTCTTTTCTTTTCTTTTCTTTTCTTTTCTTTT